CTGCTTTAAGAACAAGATGAGTGCCACTTTGTGGCCTTAGCAAGATACTTGGGAAATAGTCTGGGTTAGGGCGTGTGTATATCCATGACTGATGTATATTTTCTGAGCAAAATTTTACACGTTTCTTCTCCTGCATGTTTTTATTCTCTCCGTTTTGTTTCATCTCTAAAGAGAGCTACCGTTTTCCACCTACCTCACCTCTCAAGGACTATGGGGATCATCAGGGGAGTAAACGAATTAGGTCCAGAACTGGTGTCCGATTTGTTCGGGAGACTGACGACATGGGCCAGGTACTTTGTACTAGTCTGTAATCTGCTTTTATCTGTTTTTTTTTTTTTTTCTTTTTAAACCAAGTAAACTATTTTATTTTCAGTGTACTAATTATCATTTATTTTGTACTTTGTTCTGGAGGATTATGTTTTGTAGAATATTTAAAAATGAGTTTAGTTTTGAACAATGTTTTATTTCCTTGTTCGGGTGGCTCATTCTTCGGTAAGCCCTGCTAAGTCAGCTACTTTCTATTTTGCTAATTTTGGTTTAGTGTAAACAAGTTAGTTCTTGTGTGGTTAACCTATTGATTTTTTTCATTGGTATTTTTCTGATTGTTGAATCATTGGTAGAGTTACTTAATTAGAAGCAAGAAATTTCATACTCTTTCCATGTATTTCATGTATTCAGTAAAGATTTTGGAAGTATTCATTCTAAGGGCATATATCTTTTTCTGCTTCTTTAAGCTTCCATACAAGAGCCGAAAAAATGTTTCTTGTTGCTTTGTGTAGCTAAATTAATTAGACAAAAGCTAGAGGATGTTGCTGACTTTGAGGTTTTTGTCTTGGTGGTTTCAGGATTGCAGCCTCAGAGCTTGTCAGGATACTCACCTGTAGCTTTTGCTTGTTACAGATTAAGACAGAGATAACAGAACCAAGTGCATGAGATGTCCCCTTGTAGAAACTTTTCCTTTACTGTGTGGGTTTTGGTTTTTTTTGGTAGGTGCAATTTACTAGTGTGTATTGTATGATTAAGCCTAGAGCAGAGAACAATATCCTAACGTTGTTCATTTACTTTTCCATTCTGTTTATTTAGTGCCATTGTTCTGGGACAGTGCTTGTGCTTGGGAATAGAGATAAGCAAAGACCTTGTGTTTTTGTGGAGTTTGTAATCTAAGGGGAGGGGCTAGATATTAAATAAGTACACAGATGGATCCATAATTGTGAGCTGAGATGCATGCTGAACAGTAAGCATAGGGTCATGGGAGTGTGTGGTAGAGGGACTTGCTCCAGACAGGGAAGGCTTCTTGAAGAAAGGCTGAGCTGAAATCTGAAAGTTGAGTGAGTCATTTTGGGTAGAACAGATACCTTGACAGGAAGGAAGCTAACACCTAGGGCAACTTAAAGGCCATGTGGCTGAAGAAGTATGAAGGACCAAGACTATGCATAGTCTTTGTAAGAGGATAACAATTATTTTGAAAAGATCATTCCACCTCTAGTGTAGAAAATGAAATCAGTGTGGGTAATCCAGTTAAGAGGATATTGCTGTGTTGTGGGTGTGAGATGGTGGTTACTTGGATTAGGATAAATGGAGTTGGAGAGAAGGTAGGGTAGACTTAAAAGCTATTTGGGTAAAATGAAAGGTCTTGACGATCAGATGACCATTTGGGGAGGGGGAGAATGATTGTAAAGGAGGGGTCAAGGATGAGTCCTAGGATTCTGGTTTGCAAAACTGGGAAATCATTGCAAAACCTAAGTGAATGGTCTGCTCTTCATCCACTGTATTACCTCCACTCCTTTTTAATTGTTCTTCCTTATTTTAAGTCTCTTAAGATGACCTTTAGCTCCATGTGATAGTGTACTTTCTTATTTATTAAAAAAATTAAGTTTGTTTATTTTGAGAGAGCAAGTGGGGTAGGGGCAGAGAGAGAGACAGGGGAGAGAGAGAATCCCAAGCACCGATGGTGCAGAGCCTGATGCAAGGCTCAAACTCACATACTGTGAGATCTTGACCTGAGTTGAAATCAAGAGTTGGATGCTTAACCAACTGAGCCACTCAGGCGCCCAGACAGTGTGTTTTCCATAATGCTCTGCACATCATTTGTCATTTGTTTGCATGTCTATATCCCATGTTAAATTCTGAACCCCTTGTTTCCTACCACAGTTGCTGGCACTGATTAGTTGCTCAATGTACATTTGTTGAAATGGATTGATTTGTTGTTTCTGCAAATCTCTATAACTTAAATATTTTTTTATTGTAAATTATAGTATACAGATACATATATGGTATACATATTTACAATTAAAAGTACAATAATGTAAATGAAAATCTATGTAACCACCACCCAGGCCAAGAATCCAAGCATTATTATACCCCTAAAGCCTCTTTTACACTTCCCCTTTCCCCAGGGCTATCAACTATCCTGACTTTTATAGTAACCATTCTCTTGCTTAAAAAAAAAAAAAAAAAAAATATATATATATATATATAATACATACATCTTGTTTAGTATTCCCTGTGTGTAAACTTTATATAAATAGAATAATACTGTATATCTTCTTCTGCTTTTTTTCAATTGATGTTATGTTTTTGACATTATAACCTTACTAATGTGTACTTAGGTTTGATCATTTCATTTTTATTGCTGTGTTATACTCCACTGGGAGAACATATCACAATTTATATATGTTCCGTTCTTAATGGACTTTGTGTTTGTTTTCAGCGTTTTCATTATGAAAAGTGCTGCTCCAAACATTCTTGTACATGGTTCCTGGTGCATGTGGGCAAGAGTTTCTCTGCAGCATGGGTTGGCACACGATGGCATGTGGTCCAGTTGAATAGGGTTCTTTTGTAATACCTCCACCCATGCTCCTTTGTTTATGGCTACTTCTGTGCTAAAATGACAGTGTTGACTAATTTTGACAGAGTTAATATATCCTGAAAGCCTGAAATATTTACTATTGTACCCTTTACAGGAAAAGTTTACTGACCTCTTTTCTGAGGGGGCAGGGGGTATCTAAAAGGACTGGAATTAGTGTACTATAGAGGATGTGATGGTTAATGTTATAACTTTTTAAAAGTTGCTTTTCTTTGGAAAAATGTTTCAGAATAGACATTTATTTTGTTATGTTTTATTAACATGAAATTTGGGCATTACAGCAAAAAGTAAGCTCTTCCTCTTCATGGAAGAATTAAACAGAATCCTAAATGGATAACTGTGTTTTGCTTTTACTAGTTTCATGCGTTTCATCAGTCCCTCCGAGACCTCAGCAGTGAACAAGTTCGGCTTGGAGATGATTTCAATCGGGAATTTGCCAGAAGAAGCCGGTAAAAGCAGAATATGGTTTTTATTGGAGGCATAAGTTATTAGAAGAACATAATAAGTTCTGTAATTGATATGTTTACATGAATTCAAAAACAGTGCTGTTTTTATACCAGTATTTTAAAATTTATTAATAGAACAGTTTAAAATCCTTTGAATTTAGAATGTATTGTGACTCAGTGTTAGACAAATTAAATTCATATTTTTAAAAACATGTTAACTTACTTCACTGGAGTACTGCCATTATGGAGAGATACATTGTGAGACCTTAGCAAAGAGGTTGATTTGCAAATAGTTGGAGAGAGACAGAGAGAGAAACAGAGATGGAGACCAGATCACCAACAGTGAAGCTTAAAAAAAAAAAAAAAAAAAAAAAAAAAAAAGCATAGGTTGGAATTTGTCAACATGAGCCATTGTAGAATCCAGTATTTTAGCTTTCAGTTGAAATCTTCAAAAGTGAGCAGTTTATATTTGCCAGCTCTGCAGTTTTGTCAATTTTATGTAGTGCCCAGCAAATATCACCTTCTTTAAAATTTCCTCACTGTCTTTTCATTTTCATCATTAGCAGCGACAGTTGGCTTTCATTTGGAGGCCATATTTTCACAGGAAACCAAAGCCTTTATCCTTCTCTAGAGTCAGTCTCTAGAGTGACTCTCTAGAGTTCTTCTCTAGAGCAGTGATGGGGGAACAACAAAGCTGAATTGAAGTTTGTTTACCAAGTTCACTTGCTAACTCCCATTCCATCTAACAAAATCATTCCATACACCAGTTTTTTGTTGCTGTCTCAAAAAGGGTCAAAGCTATAAATGTTAAATATGTGATTATCAGCTGTACTCTGTGTAACTTACCTGCTTTAAAATGAGGAACATAGGAAATTTAGTAATAAGAATTAAAGACCTTACTATTACTACTATTAGTAGTTAATATTATGGAACACTTACTTCTTGCCAGATTTAGATTTAATTCTTATAACAACCCTAATGAGGTAATCATCATTATTTTTTCCATTTTTTGGATGTGGAAAAGGGTCGAGAGATGAAGTAACTCAGCTTGTTGGCGTTCAAATGGGGGTATGTGGTAGAGTCAGGATTCAGGTATAGGCATTATGGCCCCAGAGTGTCTGCTCTTTACCACTTACAGCACCCTGTGGTTCAAATCATTTTCATATATAGCAGGTATAAATAAAGAAATTAAGTTCCTGAATTTTGAGCTGTATTATGGAGTTGTATTGTCATTCTTTTAAACCAGTATTTGTTAGTTAACTTAAAACTAGGTATTTATTTTTGACAAGTTGATAAAATAAGCAAAATGGTGTCAACATTCTAGTATAGTCTGTTCTTGGATTGCTTTATTGTGTAGCTTTTACACATTTGAAGAAAGGGTACAAATTAAGCACTAGGAACATGAATTTCAGGAATTTGTCCTGTTGGAAGACCCAGGAGAAATTGCAGGTTTGATTTCGTTAATTGGTTTCAGTGGTCATTTGGATGTGCAGTGGTAGACTGGGGATCTTCTGATCCATGAGCTGGTACCATCTGGTAATAGTTTGTGTGATCCAGAGGCATGTGTGAGGCAGAGAAACTTTATTTAAGCCAAAGTAGAAGTCAAGTTTCTTGTGAAATTGGTGACTTAACTTTCTTGTGAATAGATGAGGAAGATATCCGGATCCAATTCTGCTTTACTTGTACCACAAATCCTTAATTTACGTTTATAAAAATACTGGGTAAGAGGTAGCTAGGTTAAATGTAGGTTTCTCTGTGATTCAGAAAGATTGATATTTAATGACTAATTTTTCATTTTTTTTGATATTTATTGCAAAAGGTATATGAATAATGAATATACTGGAAAGCAAGCTTTTAGAAAGCATTAATAAAGTTTAACTCAGAACTCACTTTGGATGCCATGTGGAAAATTTATTTGAGAAGGGCAAGTTAGGAAACTGTTGTATTAGCATGTGAGAGATGATTGCTTGACCATGATTCTGGCAAGGAGGAGATGGACATAGATATGTTTAAGACAGATTTTTGGAGACTGAAGAAACAGGATACGGCAGTAGATTGGATATGGGGGGTAAAGAGAATAAACCAAGGGTGACTCCCAGATGTCTGATTTGAGTAGCTGGGTAGATGGTAATTCCACTTCCTGAGATACAGAAGACTGGTAGGGATATGCCAGGTCTAGAGGTTAAGAGTTTGGCCTTGGATATGTTAGGTGTGAGATATTTGTGAGACATCCAGATGTAATATATGCAGCTAGATGTTTACTCTGGAGCTTAAAGGAAAAGTCTCTGTTAGAGATACAAATTTAAGAGTGGTGAGCATACAGGAGTGGTATTTGAAAATGGGTAATATCTAGCAGCTTTATGGAAAGTATCAAGGACAGGGCTTAGTGCCAAAAAGTTCCAGTATTAGAAGTCTCATATACACAAAAGAGGTGGCTTGAGAAGGAACAGCTAGTGAGATGTGGGAAGTCCAGTGGTACAAAGAACCACAAAGCCAAGAAAGAGGTGCAAGTAAGTTTTCAGAGATTTAAAGACTTAGAATATTTACCTTTAGGATAACTTCTTCTGAGTAAATTACCTAAGAACACATAAGTAAAGTAAAATGGTAACCAAGAAAAAGTAAGATACAGGTGATGAGAAATAATAAAACTAACCCAGAGATTTGGTGAAAGCAGTCCCCAGAATGGTAACTATGTAGCAAATCCAGGAAATATTCACTCTAAATTAGAGTAGGAAGTAGGTGTCCTTTGAGAAGAATGTAATCCACAAGAATGGAGTCGATTCTTAATAGGTGATTCTGTAAGAAGTCAGAGAAATATATTAATAATGTGATACATAAGGGCCATATAAGGCCAAAAGATAATAAGAAACTCTAGAAAAAACCAAAAGCACAAGACTGTTAACAATGTAGGTATGAAGCTGATGAAAATGGAAACATGATAGGACATAACCAAAAGCATCAATTCTTTATGATGGAATAGTTCATAAGAGGTATAAATATATTATGTAATTTACATAGGTAACCAGTAGAAAAACCAAAAATAGTAATGAATGTATCTGAAATTGGAGAGGGGTATCAGTGAACTAAATATTTCAAAACAGAGAGTTAATTGAAAGTGTCTAGAGATAAAAATGGCGGAGTTAACCAGCAAAAGAATGAAGCATGGAAGTGGTTGAGCATGGGTGCCAGTGGTGAGTGGAACCAGAGTTAAGGAGGTGTGAGAGAGGACGGGCTTTGGTTTTATTTGTAATTCTTTCAGTGCTGTTTCATTATTTATCATGTATGTTATTAATCTGTTAGGAAAAAAGGTAATAGGGAGGTAAGTTGATGAGGACGGACTTTGTACAGCACACACTGATGTAATTTGGTTACGGATTGCTAGAGAGGATTTGAGATCACATTTAGTCCTCCCCCCATTTCCTTTCTTCTTAATTTAAAATGAGACATATTGCAACCTACTTGTTTATTGAAGGTAATGGTCCAGTGTAGCGCTTGTTCTCAAAGTGTAATTCCCAAATCAGCACCATCAGCATCAGCTTGGAATTTGTAGAAATGCACATTCTTGGATCCCACTGCAGATCTACTGATTCAGCAGTCTGTCTTAATAAGTCCTCCAGGTATTTCATATGTTTGCTAAGATTTAGGAACCACTGCAGTAGAATATTATGTAATAACATGTTGTATATTTCACTGTTTGTGTATATTTTTTCAAACAGCCAACTTAAAATATATTTTTTTTTTTTGCCTAGGTCGGATGCTGAAACAAAAAGGGCTTTGGAAGAATTAGCTGAAAAACTTAATGAAACCCAAAAGCAAGAAGTGGTGAGAACTGTTTGTTTATAAAACAAATTTCATACACAGATGTTAGAGTGGTGGGCCTGGTTGTAATCGCGCTCAAGTTTAGTAGATCTTAACTTTTTGGATGATACATGCCATTTTATCTAAATTATGTTCTTGTACTTCTTATAAAATGTTCATGAATTTGGGGTGTTTAAGATTAAAATATTTACAATGGTAATATATTAGAGATTGAATTATTATTTGTCTAATTTTTAGTTTCCTTATGAATATTCAAAAGATACTTTAAATTTCACTGACCCAGTGATTATATGGCTTTTCTTAAATGATGTTTTAGAAATACGGAATTTTTTGATAGGGACTCTGTAGCACTCCTCATTAAGTATTTTCATTTCACTTAGGTGTGTAATCAGTTGCTGGAAAGACTCCTAATTCTCGAGTTTTATTTTCTCAAACTCAGATTGTTGAGAGTCGTCATTCAGGGGTTTCTTTTAATCAACCCACTGTTGTTGGTGGAATTGAAGTGAAAAATGAAGTACATACAGTGTCTGTTTCTTTGCATCATCAGTTGTTTGTTTTAGGAGAAAAAAACATCAATAGAAATTGTCCTTAAACTTGGAAACTTATCAACTTAAGGAGCAATGTGTATTTATTCATATCCCATAGCACCTTTTGTTTTTTCAAGACCAGGAATGGTAGCAGAATTTTTTTCCATAACATGTTTTATTCAAATGGAAAGTATGTTAGCAGATATTTTTTTTCTGCAGTTTTTACTATGTTTATAGATCCTTACACAGATATGTTGAGTTTATTTTAGACTGAATTTATTGCCTGCATATGCTAAGAGACGGATATACTCTGTTTTCAAAGAGATCAACGTAGTTACTCTTTTTGCAGTGAAATTTGCCCATTTCAAAAATTTGAGTAAACATCTGGCCATATGAAAAGTACATTCTTCTTGTGCTCTTGGTGCTGATTTCTTTGCGAAGCACCCCAGAGAGGTGAAGATATTATGTGTATCTTCTGTTGAAACAGACAAGATCTTCACAGTTAGTGCGTGATGATATGGCATTTGATGTGTGATCAGAATATGGGATATTTCTTTTTTTACATAAAGTCTTAGATTTTTCCAGGCATTACCAAGATTTAAATTGTGCCAGTCTAAAATACCTTAACTATTGCACTTCAAAAAAAAAAGTATTTTCTCATATTAACAGATTGGTGCTTTTCTTAGTTAATTGCAGTGGTTTACACAGCAAGAAATCTATGCCATTGTCTGATTTTCATACTGTCTAAACAGGAGTGGAATGCACACACTTTTAAGAATGTAGCTTCAAGATCCTCTGTAGCTTAATAAATGATCTTCTGGCTCTTCTCCTATAATTCTAGAATGGAACCCGTCACCTGACAGTGGAACCTGCTGAAGCTTCATCTTTTTTTTTTTTTAATTTTTAATTTTCTAAATTTGCAGGTATAATTTACTTACAGAAAAGTACATATATTATTGTAAAACTCAATGAATTATTATAAGGTGAACAGGCCCATTTTAACCACCACCCAGATCTAGAAATAGAACATTACCACTGTGTAAGAAGCCTCCTCATTCTCCATCCCAGTCACTAAATTCTCCTTCTTTTTCAAAGATGACCACTCTTGTGACTTTTTAATACCATTGGTAAATTTTGCCTGTTTTAAATATTTTATATAAATGGAATTATACAGGGTGTGTTTTTTATGTCTGTTTTTTGCTAATCTTGCTAATCATATACTTGTAGTTTGTTCATTTTTATTGCTCTTTGGCATTCCGTTGTATGGATTTACCGCAATGTATTTTAACATTTTATGATGGATATTTGAATTAATTCAAATTTTGGGCTATTACAAAGAAGGCTGCCATGAGTAATCTTATTTATTATTTTAGTGCACATGTATGTGCAGTTCTGTTAGTATGTAATGTGGAGTGCAATTTCTAGGTGCCTTCAAATTTAGTAGATACTGATAAACAGTTTCCAAAGTGGTTACGTTAATTTACACTCCCACTAGCAATGTAGGAGAATTCATGTTGCTTTTTATCCTTTCCAATATTTGGTATTATTAGTCTTTAAATAATAGCCATTATGATAGGTGTGCATAGTGTCTCATCATGGTTTTAATTTGCATTTTTATGATTACTAGATGATGAGCATTTTTTACATTTTGTTTTTTCCAGAGTTTCCAATTTCTTACTGAATTGCCTAGTAATAATCTACTCCATTCTTGTAGTCATTGGCAATTTCTTTTTTGAAATACTGGTTCACTTCTTTTGTTCCCCTTTTTTTATTGGCTTCCTTGTATTTTTGTTATTGACTTGTGGGAGGTCTTTATATATTTTGTATATGAGCACAATGTCAGTTATATGTATTTCAGTGTTATCTCCAATAGTCTTCAGCCTCTCATTCTCTTAACTCTCCCTTCATGGGGTCTTCTGTTAAAATAATCTAGTTCAGTTTTCTATCTTTTCTTTTGTGGTTAGTTTTTGTTTTTTTTTTGTTTTTTTTTTTTTTTAAATCTGTTTAAGAAATTGTTCCCTATCTTCAGAACATGAAAATATTTTCTTATGTAATGTTCTAGAAGCTTATTGTTTCAACTTTTACATAAAGACTTAGTACGTACTTGGAATTGGTAAGTTGTTCAAGGTGTGAAGTAGGGATCATACATTTTATATGAATATCTATTGATGCAGTTTCATTTATTGAAAGAATCAACCCTTTGTTACTACTTTACAGTCCTGTCTTGGTCATACACCAAATGTTCACATTTGCAGGCTTCTGTTTCTGGACTTGTATTTGATCCTGTGGTTCATTTGTCTATTCCAGTGCCCATATCACATGGTCTTGATTACTGTTGCTTAATGATAAGTTGTGCTATAGTAGAGTTAGTCTTTTTTGTTTGTTTGTTTTTATTAAATATAATTTATTGTCAAGTTAGCTAACATACAACGTATGCAGTGTGCTCTTGGCTTTGGCAGTATATTCCCATGATTCATCGCTTACATACAATACCCACTGCCCATCCCAATAAGTGCCCTCCTCAATGCCCATCACCCATTTCCCCCTCTTCCCTGCCCCTCCCATAAACTCTCAGTTTGTTCTCTGTATTTAAGAGTCTCTTATGGTTTGCCTCCCTCTCTCTTTGAAACTATTTTTTTCCCTTCCCTTCCCCTATGGTCTCCTAAGTTTCTCAAGTTCCATATGTGAGTGAAAACATATGATATCTGTCCTTGTCTGACTTATTTCACTTAGCATAATACCCTCCAGTTCTATTCATGTTGCAAATGTCAAGATTTCATTCTTTCTCATTGTCAAGTAGTAAGTATACCATTGTATGTATAAACCATATCTTCTTTATCTGTAAGTTGATGGACATTTGGACTCTTTCCATTATTTGGCTATTGTGGAAACCATTGCTATAAACATAGGGGTTCATGTACCCCTATGAATCAGCACTTGTGCACCCTTTGAATAAATTCCTAGTAGTGCCATTGCTGGGTTGTAGGATAATTCTATTTTTAGTTGAGGAACCTCTACACTGTTTTCCAGCGTGGCTGCACCAGTTTGCATTCCCTCCAACAGTGCAATTGGATTCCCATTTTTCCACATCCTTGCCAACATCCGTTGTATCCTGAGTTGTTAATTTTAGCCACTCTGATCAGTATTATGTGTTATCCCAATGTAGTTTTGATTTGTATTTCCTGATGATGAACAATGTTGAGCATCTTTTCATGTGTCAGCCATTTGGATGTCTTCTTTGGAAAAGTGTCTATTCATGTCTTCTGCCCATTTCTTCACTGGATTGTTTTTCGGGTGTTGAGTTTGTAAGTTCTTTATAGATTTTGGATACTAACCCTTTATCCGATATGTCATTTGCAAATATCTTCTCCCATTCTGTCGGTTGTCTCTTAGTTTTGTTGATTGTTTCCTTTGCATTGCAGAAGCTTTTTATCTTGATGAGGTTCCAGTAGTTCATTTTTGTTTTTATTTCCCTTGCCTTCGGAGATGTGTTGAGTAAGAAGTTGTTGCGGCTGAGGTCAAAAAGGTTGTTGCCTGTTTTCTCCTCTAAGGTTTTGATGGTTTCCTGTCTCATGTTTAGGTCTTTCATACATTTTGAGTTTATTTTAATGTATGGTGTAAGAAAGTGATCCACGTTCATTCTTCTGCATGTTGCTGTCCAGTTCTCTCAGTACTGTTTGCTAAAGAGACTGTCTTTTTTTCCATTAGATACTCTTTCCTGTTTTTTCAAAGATCAGTTGGCCACACATTTGTGGGTCCAATTCTGGGTTCTATTCCATTGGTCTATGTGTCTGTTTTTGTGCCAGTACCATACTGTCTTGATGATTACAGCTTCGTAGTAGAGGCTAAAGTCTGGGATTGTGATGCCTCCCACTTTGGTTTTCTTTTTCAACATTACTTTGGCTATTCGTAGTCTTTTGTGGTTCCATACAAATTTTAGGATTGTTTGTTCTGCTCTGAGAAGAATGCTGGTGCAATTTTGATTGGGATTGCATTGAATGTGTAGATTGCTTTGGGTAGTATTGACATTTTAACAATATTTATTCTTCCAATCCATGAGCATGGAATGTTTTTCCATTTCTTTGTGTCTTCAAATTCTTTCATAAATTTTCTATAGTTTTCAGCATACAGATCTTTCACATCTTTGGTTAAGTTTATTCCTAGGTATTTTATGGTTTTGGGTGCAATTGTAGATGGGATTGATTCCCTGATACCTCTTTTTGTTGCTTCATTATTGGTGTATAGAAATGCAATTGATTTCTGTACATTGATTTTGTATCCTACAACTTTGCCAAATTCATGGATCAGTTCTAGCAGCTTTTTGATGGAATCTTTCAGGTTTTCCATGTAGAGTATCATGTCATCTGTGAAGAGTGAAAGTTTGACTTCTTCTTTGCCAGTTTGGATGCCTTTTATTTCATTTTGTTGTCTGATTGCTGAGGCTAGGACTTCCAACACTATGTTAAACAACAGTGG